ATTCACGAAAATGTTTGTAGAATGAGTAAAGTACGCCAGATTGTTAATGTATTCAGTTATCGCTACTCTTCCGTCAGTATCAGGATAATAGAAGATTATCTGCTTCTCGTTTTAGAATTCTACAGGATGTGCATAGTATAAAATCATTTTGTACAGCATTCGAAGTTTTCTCTCACTAATTTCGTTCTATCGTTCTTCTAATGACGCAATTGTGAACTAAAAACTATAAATATCTTGTAGTAAAAAATTAATTCTATGGTATCTACGCCAATAAGGGGTTTACTGTACTAACTACGTTGCTCTCAACTAAAATGACAATGTGACTTGCATAATTATAAGAATAATATAAATAATGACGTAGTAGTTAACAAAACTAGTAAATAATTTGAACAGATTCTATTTTTTGCATTGATTCTCGAACAAATTATTGGAGTAGAGTGTGATTGACGTTCACGTTCGTTGACAGAATGTGAATGTGGCTTGTCAATGACGGTATTTATATCATTACTAACAGTCTCTAAATGTACCGTTTTTGTTACACTATCGATAGTGGTTATTAATCTTGGATGAACTGATGTTGTTCTAGCCATCCATTCTTGTGAATAAGCGTTTAGTTCAGCTTCTGTGTCGGTAAAATTCATAGTACTTCTTGTACAACGTTCCGTAACAATCACTTTTTTCTCTTTTTTTAGTTCATAATAACTCCATATTTGCCATTTTTGTCCAACTTTAAAGGCTATTTCACATAAATGTTCGCCCAAAGGTCCGACAACTACGACGTTATCTGTACTTGTACTGAAATAGCCTTTAAGTACTTTTAATATTTTAAATTCAATATTTGTTCGGCCATTCATATAGTTTCGAGAAACATTCTGTACTTCACCAATAAATAGAAAATCCGTAGCATCAAATTCATGGCTTAAATCCGTTGTGGATGGACAAATACACATAAAACTTGTTTGTACAAATAATGATAATAGATAAAACGAAATCGGCAATATTATCAATACATTCATTTTCGACGCGTAAGTTAGATTTTTCTGAAAAAGAAAGTGCTATTAACAACATTTTATTGTCAGATCATTATCTAACTCAAAAAATGCTAGAATGAATTTTTCAGAAATTCTATAAGATAATATACCTGTAGGATAACGTAGAATTCCTATTGTAGGATTCTTTCAAATCTTGTTATAGGAGACTCTATAGAATTTCTAGCACTATGCCATTTCTATAAGGATCCTAGAAAAAGATTATGTAAGGTTTGCCCTGCCGTGCAAAATGATAGAAATCCTGTCATAAAAGTGCTGTCATTTTCTTATACAGTTCTCATTCATCGGTTTCTTTTGCAATAACAACTCTATAAAGAAAGATTTCTTCGATCTAGGTGAAGGAACTATTCATTGACTAATTCTGACCTATACACAGATTGAAATAAGCAGTTTATTGCGTCTGCGATCTCAGAAAACAAGTGTTCCACTTCGGTGGACAATGAATGGGGCACTTTGAGTGCCCTCCTCCGAGTACTTTCAAGCATAAAAATGTGTCCCGTCGAGAAAAGTGCCCTGTTGTGGGCTATATTAGCATCCCATTCATCGTCCGAGGGGCACTTGTTTTTTCACAGTGTTATGTATTGTTTTGTTGCTTATAAACTGCGATGAATTAATAAGGTCATCATCGCTAACAAAGTATAATTAAAACAAACATCCATTTTTTCTGGAGTGTAACTTACATATTATATTGAAAAGATAGAATGTAACTTTAGTTTTATGGGAATTTCTGAAATTGATGCATCAATGCATGAAATATGCGAGATGTAGCTTATGCCACATTTCTGACACACAAAAGGTTGCAGATAAGTGCCGCACTGCTGTTTTATACATGGGAGTTTCCCTTTAAACCTAACGAGTCTATGCTAATAAACTTGCTTACTGTATGTTTCGCATTTGAAAAACATTCTATGCGAACCAAAAGTATGTTTGTTCATAGCATTTTATTTGTTAAAACAGTTCACTTAAAATTCATCTATTCACATACGCATTCACCGGCCAATAGTAAAGAAAAAGAATGAGATTTGCTACTTTACGACGGTATACTAAAGTTATCTAAGAATAAGAATAAAATAAAGAATTAATAGTTATAGAATTTTCATTTCATTTAATCGACTTCCGTTAAATAGGTGATCGTAAGAATATGAACAACGACATAATAAATTGAGTGAATAATTGTAGCGAACTAATTAAAATTATTTTTTGGGTTTCTTTGGACGAAGTAGATTATTGCTCGTGTAATTTTTTAAGTAGTTGTATTGGTGTCTATTCCACTTTTAATAATACATTATTGTTTAGTTAACTTGAGTGAGTTTTTCATTTTCATTTTTTTTTCTCACTTATATTTCCTGTACAAGTTCCCACAAAGCTATCAGTGAAATCAATAAACTCAACACCCATATCTGACATCGATGACTTTTTGGAACATCTAATTTACATAAACGATCATATTCAAATGTTTGAACTGTAATTACGTGACTGCTTTTGTAAGGATCTCTGTAATATTCGTTATATTATCCATTCGTTATATTATCCATAAATATCTGATCAGCTTTGTTTATAATCATCTCTTGTTTAACAGAAAAACTGATGAAGAACAGGAATATGAAAGCCTGTTTTAAACACATAATGAGAAGAAATAAATTAGAATTGATGCTATTGAAGATATGATCATTTTTGCAAAAGAAAAATTATCTCTTCTAAAAAATTTGAAATAATTTAGAAAATCGTGGTAAATAAATTATTTTTGAAGATAAAATCATTTTTCATGTTTATGTTAAAGAGACACTTATATAATTATACACTTTAGAAATAAAAAGAAAGCTTTTTTATTTCAAATACCTTTGTTGCCGTTGTAGTATTCAAGTGATATTCTCAAAAGTAAATATTTCTATATGTAGTATGTTAACCTATCAATAGACAAAAGATGACTATTAACGGTAAAATCCTTGGAATTCTCGTCACGATTTCTTTTTTCCTGTTCGTTCTTTATGCCTTTTTATTATTATTCATTAGAGAAACATAGTTGTATATTCTGATTATCATTTACACTTCTCTACGTACGTCATTATTAGTAGTATTTTTATAAATAATATGAGAGACCTGACGTCCTTGTATACCAAAATATTCACGCATTTCTGAATGTCGTTGGCGGCTTCCTGCACATATATTAAGAACAAATGTGAACGATTAGCACAATAGAAGATACATGTATACATCTATGAAGATAACATGGATAGATACCGGTATAAATAGAACAACAACAATAGTCACTTTTTTTATATGAAAAGGATAGTCTACAGGAGACCATATTGTATAGAACTTACAAAGAAAACATTCACGAATTAACTGAACATAACGTCATACACCTGTTCTAAAGTAGATAACTTGTTAATGTATTACTAATTAATCTCATTTTTCAATGATGAAGGTTGTTGGTTTTCTTTCAAAGTGTGACAGAATATTTTCCAAACACAGTCATCTATGATATGTAGCTGGAAACGTTTTATACAAATTGGAATTCGATAGTTTAAATGGGATACGCAAAGAAGAGGTCATCTCCCTCTCTCATGTTCTACTAGAAGAATGTCACTCTTTTTAATAACATTAATTTTTTTACGAGAATAAGATAAATGAACTTTTATCCGCAGCATGCATGTTTCAGTTATTGTTCAACATGCTCATAAATTAGCATTCCTCGTTACATCAAGATTTCTATCATTCATTAAGTAATAAATCATTTTATGTGTAAAAAAAGATAAGTAGAAAAAAGAGAGAGTAATAAAGTTTTTTGATTCAAGAACCAATCACCATAAATTTTTAGTATTTTTGTTTTCATTGTTGATTTACATTTCTCGGTCTCTATTTTAAGAATTTGGAGAGAAAGATTAGGTTCGTTCTGATGATGTATAGCCGTTTTTATGTTTTTTTGTTGCTTTTTAATTTTATCTCTTCACGTATATTTGATGAGTTGTCGGTTATCTTTAATATTTTTTTTTTTTGTCCCTTGTATACAAGCTTCCCTCATAGACTAATAAATTTAGTACACTATTGTCGGCAGTTGTGCTTTTGAGAGTGAGGACCGCTCGTGTAGCGCATCTCGATATACGGTTTGTCTTTTCGATTTTAACTATGTCTACTTTTAACTTTTTATTTGTTTACAGTTCAACGATTTGTTTTATTTAGATTGTTTTTCGCTTGTGTTTGACATATTTCCTGCTGAAAAGATACACTATGTAGCTTGTTGTTATTTTAAAAGTGGCATTACAGAACATGCCCAGGTATATTTCTCTGTTTTGTATTGTTCTTTCTCTCTAATTAGCTTTTGTAGGTTGTTGTATCATGCTATTGTTAAGCAAAAAATGTGATGTTGTTCTATTCTTTTACTGTTCTATATTAGTGAGTATTTTCCTTCGTGGAACGAAACGTTTCATTTTGCGCGATAAGTTTGATCGTGTAAAGATAATAGATCAATACTAATTGTATGAAAGAATCATGGTAGGAAACAATTACGAGTAGGTATGGTACTAATAATGCTATTATTCTCTAATGTTGAACGCTGGATGTGTAATGTTATACTGTAAAAAAAATGTGTCCTGGAATGTGCCGTATCAGAGGATACATCTGAAATGCTATGACAAGAATATGTCGTACTCGTAGGCACTTCAAATGTCGTACATGACAGCATATGGAATAAGCACTGCAATGTGTCATATGATCAAGTATGATATAACAGATACATTCGATGGTGCTTCTGCAAGAGACATGTTTGTTAGGCCTTACAATATGTTTCAAATGGGATGTGCACTATTTTCTTTTCATTCACCTTTTTGTTTTGTGACAGCATGTCTATATAATACACTCAATATTTCACTTAGAAAATCCAAAACTGTCTGATAGAATTCATAGAGGCACGAACTCGGATGATTCAATTCTGTCGAAAGAAAACTCTCTTCGGCAATTGAGTATTTGGACTGCAAGCAGCTTATATAGATTCTTGCTGATAAATACATCTCATTAACGATACGTCACCAGAAATGAAAACATTCAAAAGAATAACGAAGAGCCAGGAAGAAAACAGGGAATAGCTCGCGTACTATAATCAAAAGAAAGAAGACAAGCCTATCTTTATATTTCATGTAACCTATAAATTAAATATCTGTTCGTTCTTCGTCTACTTTTTCATCGTCCTGACCAAAATTTTAACAATTTGGTCTTGTCTATTATATTAAGAGACACCATGTCCGTAAAGACCTGTCTATGATTTTAAAACAAGAATGTATGACTCATAAATAAACTTGCTGCTTTACATGAGCGTAAACCATGTATTTTCTCGTGGTTAGAAAAGCTTAGAGTATGTTGTCGTTGTTTTTTGTTTCTTGCCCCTAAACAAAACATAACACGTTTTCAATATGTAAAAAACAAATAATTCTTCCAAGATATAAAATATAATTAATGTAAATGGCACTGATTAACATATTCATAATGAATGTAAGTAGACACTAATAACTGAACGCTAATGAGAATAAGAAAAAGCAATAGATATCACAGGTAACAGATAAACTTTCATGGTGGTTGAATATAGAAATACAAAAATTTACAAAGAAGAGTTTTTAAAAGTCGCATATTACTTTTTCTTTACATTCGAATTCGAAAACGTGAAGATGCCAACTCTTGTATGTTGGCACACGCAGTGAGTCTCAGCGGAAACTTACTATTCCTTCAAAAACCGCTCGTATTTTACCAAGATTTTGATGATCCAGTGGCAATGATAAACGTTGACACTGTTTGTCAGTATAATCATCAGATTCTTTAACGTGCTTATCTAATTTTGGTTCAGTAATGCAGTAAATAATCTGCCAATGTTAGCTCTCCACTCGATGTGTTAATGCACAAATGAAGCAGCAGGTATGTATCTCAGAAGCCAGACGTATATGTGACTCGTTCATGTAATATGTTTTTCATTTGCT